GATAGATAGATAGATAGATAGATAGATAGATAGATAGATAGATAGATGAAAGAGTGAAAGAGTGAAAGGAGAGACAGAATAGATAGATCATAAATGATAGATCATAGGGAAGAGATACATAGATTATAAATCATAGAACATAAAAGATATAGAAGAGAGAAGGGAGAGGAGAGAAGGGTAGAAAGTAGGTAGATTAGATAGATAGATAGATAGACAGATGAAAGAGAGGAGAGGAGAGGAGTGAGAATAGATAGATTATAGATGATAGATATGTGGATGCATAGTTGGAAAATAGATAATAAATCATTAGATGACAGAAGATATAGAAGAGAGAACGTATAGAGGAGAGGAGATAGAAAAGAGGATAGAGATAGATAGATAGATAGATAGATAGATAGATAGATAGATAGATAGATAGGCAGGCAGGCAGGCAGGCAGGCAGGCAGGCAGGCAGGCAGGCAGGCAGATGAAAAAGAGAGAATATATAGAGGATAGAGGGTAGATAGGTAGGTAGATATACCATAAATCATAGATAGATGATAGAAGATAAAAGAGAGAAGATATAGAAGAGAAGGTAGAAAGGTCTGTCTGTCTGTCTATCTATCTACACACACACACACACACACACACACACACACACACACACACACACAGATTTGTAGAACGCACGCGCGCGCCTCCTTTCTGTTTGTATACACAAGCACACGCGGGGGAGTAACTGTCCGAGCTTGGTAACGTTTACTTGCAGACGTTTTCATGACCCAAACTAGAAAGCACCGGTGCTCGTCGTCAGCGCTGATCTTAGCTTCGCTCGGGTTTACGAAACGCCTGCAAGAAAACCACCGAGCTCAGAGAGCACCAAGCACTCCGCCTTTCAACCCCGAGCTCCAAATATTCTCCTTTATCTGCACAAAGGCGCGCAACAAAACTTTGCAAAAGGAAACCGAAGGTGCTTCTGCAAAGACCAACGGCTGGTTTGGGGACGCGGCGGGGGTCTGCTTCAGGATTTTCTCCTGCCTCCCCTTTCCCTTTAAACCTGTCCCGGGAAGAGGCGTCCCACCGCAAACTTAACCCCTGCGCCGCCGGATTTTACTTTCTTCCGCTTCTCCTCTTGTCCCGACTACAGCACCTCGCTTGGTCCCTCCCCCAAAAAACTGGGCGGGCAAGCAGAGGTCCAAGAACACACTTCTTGAACCCTGAGCTCGCCCAGTGTGGAACCCTTTTAAAGAGCCGCGCGCGGCGCGCAAACTTCCGCGTACACGCGTCTCCACGACCGCAACGATACACAACATCCCTCAACGGTTGCAATATGCCCAAAGCCCCTGGAGGCGTTTTCTTGTAAACGCCCGGAGCGGCCAACCTCCCCTTACCTCCTCTTCCTCCCTTCCCTCCCGCGGACACGCGTGTAGGCGTCTCCACGACCCCTCAATATCCCCCCGACGATTTCATTCAGCCCAACGCCCCTCGCGGCGTTCTCCTCCAACCGCCCGGACCGCCCAAACCTCCCCCTCCTCCTCTTCCTCCCTTCCCTCCCTCGTACACGCGTGTGCGCCTCTCCACGACCGCAAAGACTCCACAACATCCCCCGACGGTTCCATTCCGCCCAACACCCCTCGCCGGCGTTCTCCTCCAAGCGCCCGGAGCGCCCAGACATCCTCCTCCTCTTCTTCTTCCTTCTCCTCCTCCTCCCCTCCTCCTCCCATATTTCCCGGGTTACACGCGTGTGCGCGTCTCCACGACCAGCCCCTCGGCCGAGCGTTGGGACCCCGAGAGCGACGCCCGGCCGACCGGAGAGCAAACTAACCTGCCAGCGGGACGGCCAGGACGGAGTGGAGGAAGAGTCCGAGTGGCAACAGCTGGTGAGTCCACATGGATGGGACGGAGGAGGGGAGGACTGGCTACCTGGGGCCGGTGGCGAAGGGGCGGGAGGAGGGGGCTCTTCCCCCTTTCCAGGGGTCGCCAAAGGAGGCAGAGGCGGCAACAGAGGAGCCCGAGGGCGAGGAGCTGCTATTTATTGCAAGGAGCCCGGGTTTGGGCGAGTGAGTAACGCAGGAAACCTCAGGGTCCCAACTCCCTCTGACGGTAAGAAAGCGCGTTCGCAGCAGCGCTCTCCCCGCCTTCCCAGCCGGGGAGGGAGAACCGAGGGACACAGGGACCAGCGCAGCGCCGACGGCCAGAGCCCACCTTTCCGGGGGGGGGGATTGGTGCAGGGGTGGGGGGCGTCCCATCCAAGGCTGTGGGGAGAAGCTGCTCCGACCCGGGGACGGACGGACGGCAGCTCCGTTTTGGTAGCAGCTTCGAGGAGCCCGGAGGATTTGTCTTAAGTTAAAAAAAAACTCCCTGAGCGCAGAAAGCTAGCCCGTTAGAGCCCCGAATGGGTCGCTTCTTGGCGTTCTTTCCATCTCGGTTGAGAAAAGTTGGGTTGTTGGTGGAGGTTTCAACCTTCGGGGTTACTTGGGCGCTGCATCCCGTTTGGATCAAAGGAGGTGCAGCAAGTAGACACTTTGGGTTACCTGGGTTGGTTTTAATAGAGGTGATGGGGCCAGGGAAGAGAGGGAGGGAGAGAGGGAGGGAGTGGGGGGAGAGAAAAGAAGGGAGGGAGGAAGAGAAAGGGAGGCGGGGGGAGAGAATGAGAGAGAGGAGGAGAAGGAAGGAGGGAAGGAGAGTAAGCAAGGGAGGGAGAAAGAGGAAGGGAGAAAGAGGGAGTGAGAGAGAGGGAAGGAAAGAGAGTAAGAGGGAGAGAGCAGGAGAGGGCAGGGAAGAAGAGTGTGGGAAAGAGAATAAGAGAGAAGGAGAGAGAGGGAGGAAAAGAGAGAGAGGGAAGAAAGAGTAAGAGAAAAAGGGAGGTGGAGCAAAGAGGAGAGAAAGGAAGAAAGAAAGAGGGAGGGAGGGAGAGGGGGAAGAAGAGAGAATGACAGAGGGGGAGAGAGGGGGGAAAGGAAGACAAGAGAGAGAGCAGGAGAGGGCAGGGAAGGAGAGTGTGGGAAAGAGAACAAAAGAAGAAGGGAGAGGGAGAAAAGAGAGAGGGAGGGAAGGGGAGTAAAAGGAAGGGGGGAGGAAGGTAAAGAGAGAGAGAAAGTGAGAAAGAGAGGGAGGGAGAGAAGGGGAAGGAGAAAGAGAGGGAGGGAGAGAGGGAAGGAGAGAATGAGAGAGGAGGGGAGAGAGAGTGAGGGAAGGAGAGTAAGCGAGGGAGGGAGAAAGAGGAAAGGAGAAAGAGAAGGAGAGTAAGTGAGAGTGAGAGAGAGGGAAGGAAGGAGAGTAAGAGGGAGAGAACAGGAGAGAGCAGGGAAGGAGAGCAAGGGAAAGAGAGAGGGGAAAGGAGGGGGAGAGAGGGAAAGAAGAGAGAGAGGGAGGAAAAGAGAGTAACAGCGATACTTGTCCTGCTTGTTTGTTCAAAATTCTTCAGCCTCAAGTAGGCGCCATATCAGCCAAAGGAATAGCAACCATTCACACAACTGGGTCAACCTGGGTATCTGATTTCACACAACTTACACAAAGCCACCCAAAGAAACCCAAAGATCTAACTTGGCCTATTATTCAAACACGGGGCCTCACGAAGAATTTTATCATCTTGGCAGTTTTATTATCTCGAGTCTTTATTATACATAGTACACGCATGAGGATTGGACCCACCTATCATATATTTGTTTTAGTTTTTATTTACAGTAGCTTAGGTTTTTTATTTATAGTTGCTCGGCCACTTTCAAAGAAGCTGGAAAGCATCAAATCGAGAACGGCGATAAAGAGATGATAATCCGAAGCCTTAAATTTCATTTTTTTTTCACCATCGGTTGAAAATTACTTCATTCACCCCAAAGCCCATAACTGAGTTCTGCAGCAAAATATTCATTTTTCCCGCAGTCAAACCTTGCCTCCTGTTGATAATATGTGTTCTGACCAAGGCTGCCTGAGACCATAATTAAGCACACGCTTAGTTAAAACAACTCTTGTTTCATTTCAATGCTGGGAATTATGTTCATTCCCAGCCCGTAATGAGTCCCAAACAGTCCCTCGAGATAAGCATCCACCTTTCTCTCCTTTGAATTGCTGCCAAAAACTAAAGTGCCAAATGAACTGTAAAAAACCAACCGAAGTACAAAGTCCACACAGAACTTCATGGTTTAATCTGAACAGAGTGAACGACTTTGCTTCCTGCAAGGGTTTCTCTGCCTTTGCACTTCCTTTATACCTTATCAGAGGGCCAATCACCTCCTAGCCTTACTCCTGAGTCGCCCCTTTTGTCTTAGCTGTTCTTGCCTTCTAGCAGCTCTGTGCACATGCGCACTGGGAACAGGCTCCCCTGGCTCCTCTCCCTCGCTGCTGCCAGACTCCGAAGGCTCCAGAGGCAGCACCCCACTCCCAGATGGCCCTGGCCCCATTCCTGCATTAGAGGCAGGACCCTCATCCAAGTCCTCCCCAGATTCCCAGATTGCCCCCCGTTCTTCAACACTGTCCGATTTTGCTGCCGGCTGCACAGGCTGCCGGCGAACCACAACAATATGTCTCGTTATCTTCACAGTACAGGTAGTCCTGGATTTACAACAGTTCATTTAGTGACTGTTCAAAGTTACAACGGCACTGGAAAAAAAAGTGACTTAGGGACTTAGTTTTCCACGCTTATGACCATTGTAGCATCCCCCGTGGTCATGGGATTCAACTTCAGATGCTTAGCAATGGACTCATTGTTATGACCCTCACAGTATCCCGGGGTCACTTTTGTGAGCTTCTGACAATGGGGAAAACAGATACACTTAACAATTGTGCTACTAGCTTAAGAAGCACAGTGATTCACTTAACAACAGTAGGAAGAAGAGTCATACAAATGGGATAAAGACCCACTTTACAAAGGTCTCACTTAGCAACCGGGATTTGGAGGCTCAATTTTGGTTGTAAGTCAAGGACTTCCTGTATCGTCTTCTCGGATTTTTTGTTTTCGTCTTCCCAGGTTATCCTATAACCGTGATGGTGAACCTATGGCATGCATGCCAGAAGTGGCATGTAGAGCCATTTCCCCTGGCACACGAGAGCTCACCCAGAAGAACCCCACTGCGCATGCACACCCGCTGGGCTGCCTGACAGCTGATTGTCGGGTATCTGGCACGCATGTGCGGGGGTGGTGGTGCGCGGGAGAGACGTGTGAATGCACAGAGATGTGCAACGCACACTAGGGGTTGCGCACGCATGCACAGTTAGATGGCGCGGGGGGTGATCATATGCACAGATGTGTGGCATGGTGAGGGTGATTGCGTGCATGTGCAGATGCATGGCTGCAGGGGTGATCACATGCACAGGAGGGTGCATGCATTGCTTGCTGGGTGCTGGCATGCGAGTGCATGAGCGTGTGCGCAATTATCAGCAAGGGAGCCAAAAAAGGTTTGCCACAGGGATGGGAGTCAAATTTTTTAACAACTGTTCTGTGGGTGTGGCTTGGTGGTAATGTGACCAAATGTTGACCATGGCCAACTCAACATCACTCACATCGAGGCATGCATCTCCTCACCTGGCCTCTCATGACTGTGGGGATGCTGCAACAGTTATACGTGTGAAAAATGGTCATGAGTCACTTTTTTCAGTGCCATTGTAACTTTGAATGGTTCACTCCACACAAGCAAAGTACCAGCAAAGAAGGGAAAAAAAACTCCAGAGAGGTTCCTGAGACAGAAAGTCTAGTCCTGCCAAGAATGTAATAAGGGTTAACAGAAAGGCAGTTTCTGTAAGCAACACCAGAATGTTTCCTTCCTGCCTTCCTTACAGGATTAGGCCAGTAATTTCTTCTAACAACCGGTTCTCCAAACTGCTTAGAATGTTAACAACCAGTTCTAGCGAATAGGTGCGAACTGGTAGAATCCCACCTTGATAGTGGTTTGCCACCACTATCCTATAAACTTGGATTTCCTTGAAATTTCCCATCCAATTATTAACCAAATCCAATGCTTTTTAGCTTTCTGCAACCTAATAAGGTGAGCTGGAGCTTGCCAGTCAATAATTTTATTTTTTTTAGCACTAATTCCACTTATTTTGTTTGCTTTTTTAAAATTTTATTTTAATGTTTTGTACTCTTCTTTCATGCAAGAATACTGAAATGTATATGCAACCCCCCCCCCATTTTTAAAAAATGTGTATCTTTTCTACAAATCAAAAAAGGGTGTGTTAATTTCCCTCCGGCACAAATGTAACCATTTTTTTTTTAACAATCCAAGAATCTTTTTTTCAATTTGAAATTTTTTTACCCTGTTTAGGCAACGCTGTTTATAAGGTTTGTTTTCTTCTCTCATTTCATTTGTTACTGTTTAACTTTGTTTATTTTTTTGTTTGTATTTCGTTTTTTGTACCATGGAGGGGTTTTTGCTTTTGGCTCGGTTTATTGATTCAAGCACAGGCATGAAAAAAAATTAACCAAATGATGAAAAAGTTGTTTTTTTTATTCTTTATTTCAAATGTTTATTTTTTTCGTTTGTTAGTTTTCTCCTGGTTTTGTCACAGATAGGGCAAGCGAGGACATAAATAAATATTGTCTTTAATTGGCTGGGACTCCAGAGGCAGAAGGACTGACTTGAAATTTACAAAATCTCCCTTCAGGTTCTATGAAAGGCACAGACTGAAAACAGAAAAAGATAAAAACCTTCCTTAAAGAAACATTAGAGATGCTGAACAGATTTTTCAGACAGGCCTCTCTGTTTCTTGTAAATCCCAAAATGAAAAATTTGAAGATTATATTGCAACATTCATCTGAGAATTTTCCCTCTGCTCCAAGAACTAAAATCCTCTAAATATGCTGAACTGATTTTACTTATAGATTTATTGGACGTTGTTGTGGCCTGCCAGTGGCCAGCAGACTTGGAGAGTGAAGAGGTTGGGGGTGGAACATGGGCCAGTCCTGGAGTCTGGGAAAGGCTCTGTTGAGGGCTCTGCATAGGAGGCAGAGATGGGGCCAGGGCTGTCTGACAGTTATCAGCTGCCTTCCAAGTCAGAGATCAGAGGGGAAGAAGAACAGCTGGAGCCTGTTCCCAGTGTGCACATGCACAGAGCTGCCAGAAGAAGGGAACGGCTGAGGAACAAGGGCCAACTTGGGAGTAAAGGCATAGGTGGATGGTGAATGGCCCCTCCCATAGGGAAGAAAGAGGAGCGAAAGGGAAGTGGGGCTTGCAGGAGAC